AGGTAAATTTTCAACCCTACTTAACCCCTTGTCATGTTCTTCCTATGGGATGTAATTTGAAGTATGGTATGATCACAATTACATTTAGCTGTTAGATATAGAATCAAGTGGCTGGAGATAACAAAACTTTTTGTATATCAAGAAATTTTTGTAAACACTATGACCCATGTGCCATAATAAATAGTTTGATGGTAGTCCCTATACAGTAATTATTAAGGCTGGACAGGACATTCCGGTTTGACCAAATAGACGACTAATTAGTGCTTTCTCCAGTTGGACATTCGCTGGGCTTAGTTTTTCCTGTGAGCTAGTGGGCTCATCCAAGCTTTTTTCTATATATATATATATATGTATGAAGATACTACAAAACGTCTATAGGTGAAAATGAACAGTGATTTCACCTACTCTCATCATCATCTGAAGTTCATCGCACGGTCACGATTGTTCGGTATTGTTTTTTTTCTATTTTTTTCTACAAATCGGAATGACTTGAAATTTGGAGCATGTTTTCATAAACAATAGGATAGCCCACTAGCTCATATGAACATATGAGCCCAACGGCTCAAATTGAATCTGGGCCGATCTGACGATCAAGCATGTCCGATAGTATTTGAATTTTATTTATTTTTAGAAATTCAAATCACTTTAAATTTTAGGTGTGTGTTCATTAAAAATAGGTGAATTTTTGAAAAATATCAAAAAAATATTTTACATGAAATAAATTGATCAAAATACCCCTGAAATGTATTTTGGGGGTATTTTGATCATTTTTTTACATATAATTTTTTTATATATATATTTATTAGGTGCATCTTGATGAGAAGAACACATACCTAAAATTTCAAGTAATTTAGATTTATAGAAAAATAAAAAAAAATTCAAGTACTACCAGACATCTTTAATATTCAAATCGGCTCAGATTCAATCTGGGCCATTGGGTTTGTATGTTCATATGAGCTAGTGGGCTAATCCCATATTTTTTCTATATATATATATATATATATATATATATATAGTAGGTGTCGGTTGTATAGAGCCTAGGCTCTAAACAATCAAGTTAGCGCCCACCTTCAAATAGTATCGAGAAATGCAGTTTCAATACTGGAAATCTTTATGAAAGCCTTAAAATATATTTACATATTTATTTATAAGGTTTAAAGCTTAAAAAATAGTGTAGATCGACATATCTATGAAAACTTGAAAATCTTGAAAATTGACAGTCCAAAAATGCGCTACAAAATACATTATTTTCCAAACATGAAATCCATTTTTTTCTCATGCCCATGCATCTTGATATCGAGATGATCAATTTGACGATATTTGGGCATTAAAACAATATCTTCTAGTGAAAGTTTTGAGGTAGGGTCAAATTTTGATTGTTTAGAGCCTCGGCTCTATATAAACTTTTCATATAAATTTGATCATTTCAAATTATTGAAATTAAATTTTATATTTTAATATGGTGCAAAATACTGTTAGGTATATATATCCAAAATTTTATCTTAACCAGATTTATAGAAAACAATTAAAATTAAATAATTTAAATTAAAAGGTGAAAACAGATTTTTAAGCAACTTTTAGCTCTTACTAAAAACGCCTCTACTTATTTTCTTTATTTTATGTTATCAGAAAGTAGATTAATAACGAGAGAATGAGTTTAATTTCGGTGCCCTCACGAAAGCTAATTTCAACACAGTATGAAAATGAGTGCCGAACTAATAGATATTTTGGAAAAAAGAAGAAGAAGAAGGAGACCATTTAACATAAAAAGTTACAATCATTCCTGTCTAATTTTGAATCCAGTCATGGGCTAAACTCAAAATACACAAGAAAAAAATCAATAATAGAGCCCTCAGCAATCTAATTTAATATAAATAGTTAAAAGTGAATGTGATCTCTTTATAATTAAAAAAAAGAAAAGAAAAAAAAAAGAAGGAAAAAAGAAAAAAAAAAAAGAATGCAAATAAAATTAAAAAAATTTGGAAACATAGGAAGAAGTTTCTATAAAGCCTAGGTTTTAGGAAAACAAAATAAAACCTCATCTACAATAGAAATTTCTACTATGACTCTAAAATCAATTTAACACCTACAGTAAATTTTGAAACTAAAAAAATATATTACAAATTTTGAGGACGGGAAAATACTTATTTTTAGGGCGAAATAGACAGTTTAACTAATTTATTAAAATATACACTATTTTTAGAGTTTGAATTCCTAATTTTTTTTTCACGACCATAATGTTCAAGTGGAGATGATTAATTTAAGATTTTCCAGTGTTTGAATTAAATTTTTGATGAGTTATGAGATGAGTCTTTACTTGTTTTGATAGGGCCGCAGCCATAGCAAACCATTTCCTTTTCAATATATCCCGAAGAAAATAGTACTCAAGTTTCCCTAATTTTTATTTATCCCAGCGTTTTAAAAAACGCCTAGTCGAAGCCGACTCGGAAATCGTAAAAGGGGACCGGATCGCTTAAAAAATCGGAAATCGTCCGGTTCTAGCGAGAACCGGACGATTCTGCCGATTCACTGTACGGAATCGGCGAGTCCGTAAGGATTTTTTTTTTTTTTTTTTTTTTTTTTTTTTTTTTTTTTTTTTT